ATGATACGCTGGGCGAGTCCGGGGGAGGGCAGGGAAGGACCGGGGCGGGGGGTTGGGGGAGGGAAAAAGGTAAGGGTGAACGCCCCACTTCTCCTAAAATAGACATCTTGTACATTTGTTACCTGGTGTGTCACATGATTGGAGAGACAGAAAAATAACCCAAAGAAAAAGATAGCTTCTACTACCTTTTGGCAGCCCCCTTTAAGGCGTAAATAGTGAGCAAGGCAATCACATTGCTTGCTTCAAAACGCCAGGCAGATACCCACGCTACAAAAGTGTGATGCATTGGCACAATTCACATTCACTCAACCCTTACGCAACATAGTAAAAGTTATGTATTTTAGAATTTAGAGATATTTCATTGGTAGTAGGTCATAAAATAGGTGGGAGATTGAAGCATCAACCAGTCCAAGTTGATGAGTCACGAAGGAGGTCAAATTTCAGCGTCATCAATTTCAGGTGACGAAGTTGACCAATGACCGATGTCGTAACCAGAAAGGGAGAATTTCTACTTTTATCTCGTCATTACCGGAAAAAAAATGCCCGCCCTAACCTCCCCCTTCAGTTTGAAGTCCGGGTGACGCCTCAGACAGCCGAATAGGTTTAGAAACTAACTGAATGTCTAAGAAGACCTCTTAATAGAAATTCGCTTTTATCGTTTTGTCAAACTTTGCCGTTAATAGCAACACTCAAGGCGAGAACGCAATAACTTTGGCGTATTCCCTGCAATCGCTCAGATTTACGACTGTTTCATTGCTACTAATAGACGCACTTTTCAACCCGCCTATTTATCGTTATCTCAGCAAGTCAGGGAGAAAAAAAGGCGCTACCATCAATTATTTAGGTTGGGTGAGGGGGTAGCGCTCCCTTTAATAGGATGGATCATCACCGGAGATGAGATAAGGCAAGTGAATGCATGAGAGATGCATTTCCTATTGAAGGAAGGGCGTTAGACGAACTCATCCACTTCCTGCGTACTCCGCTTAGTCACCAGGTGGGAGGTAAAAAAATGTATAGTTCTCTCTCTCCATAATCTTCTCAATTTCGTTTGCCTCGTCTCCCATTGGTTCCATTGCGTCAACAGCATAAATACTGTGTTCTGATTGGCTACCGGAGAGAGGCGCAAACTTTGAAGCAAAAAAACGAAATCACACAATTGACTTCTCAGATTTTGTGGCACCTAATAAGTGGCGCATTTTCGCGAATATATTGAAGTGTGTAAATAGGGCTTGCGTCACAATCCTTTTCAGGGTGAGTTTCATCCAATTTAGTCCAAATTACCTGACTAAAAAGAATAGCGTCCGTGAGAAATTTAAACAAAGGGAAAAAAACTGCTTGGTCGTAAAGTTAGATGGACAATGTGTACACCGGACCTGCTTAGTCATAAGGCCACCATTTCTCACATTGGCACGATCAGAAAAAGTTGTCAATGTTCGGTCCGACCAGCACTTTTTTGTTAAAAAACCTGGCTTTTCTTAAACAAAAAAAGGAATTCTCATTGAAAAAGACTAACCTTTGCTTGGAAATTGATATCTGCTCCTCTGGAGATAAGAAGATCCACCATCTTCACGTTGCCATAGTGCGATGCGATGTGCAAAGCCGTAAATCCACTCTGAAGCCAAAAATGCAAAATATAGATGCAATTTGACATCTAAATTCTCTCTTTGGAGTTGTTGAAAGCGATGGAATGGCATGGCATGGATTGGTCTGGGTAACCCAAAGTTCAATACAAAATCAAAAGTGTTTTGATGGTTCCCGTCTTGTGAATTTAAAACAACACCAGCTTCTGGTCCCACAACCGACTGGATCAGGTTGTTTCAAACCCAACGGAGAGGAGAACTTAACGTGTCGGATCAAATATTCCTCCCAGGTAGGGCACTAATACATTATATTGGACGCTTAGGTACAGCTATGTATGGGGGCAAAAAAAGACGGAGGTGAGATGATGTGTGCAGTCCACACAGGCCAAAAAAAGAAACAGGGGTTATTTGTGAGCCAAGACAACTGTTACCTGTCTCGGTTTGTTGCGATCTGTGCAGCGGTGCTACCACCTAAATAACTACCTCAAAAGGTGATGGCTAGGGGTAAGTAGAGAGAGAGAGTGAGGGAGGCGAGAGGGTAGCCACGCCTATTGTTGATTTCCTAATTCAACAGAATCGCCACACTTCCAGAGAGCGCCTTCTTTCCACGGTTCAAACAGCTCTAGTGAGGTTGGCAAAACACATACTCCTGATAACGGAAGGGGTTGCGGAAAAGTGCCCCTACCTCTAATCCAAGTGTTCAGTGCAAAAAAAAATTAATGCTTCTCTTTTCTCCATTGAACAATTTGTTTGTCCAACAGAGATTTAGCTAATTAAAAGAGATGGTTGAAGAGAACCATCATGCTCTGGTCGGCGATTTTAATCATACACCGGAGGAGGAGCAGACTAAGCTGGTGGATAAAGAATGAGCTAAAGGAGATGAACTTATTTTACTCAGCTAAAAAGAAACCCTATGAATGAGGTTGAAATGGAATAAATGAAGGAATAGGTGGATAGATGAATGAACAGGGGTGAATGGATCTAGGAATAGACAGGGGAATGAGTGGGGCAAGGGCGCACGGACAGGCAGCAGGAGAAAATGGATTTGACAAGGTGGATGGATGGGTTGGTCGGGAAAAAGCGACCCTCGCTGCTTGAATTGACGACCTAGGCGATGATAATTTTGACAGCCAGGCTGAACAAAGTAGCACATTCCAGTTGAGATGCCAAGAAAAGTTACACAGAGCCATGTCTTCATAAGATCCTTCTGTCACTTTTTCATAGAAGGCATCCAAAGGAATCGCAAATGACGGAAGTTAACTCTATACACTCAGTTAATATTTATTCCCTCAGCGGAAGTGATTAGAACAACAAAATTTGCATCCTCTGCCGGAATGCGAGGCAAAAAGGAGGATTTTGCCGCATCTCCACTCGCGTAAAAAAACAACACCGCCCTTTCAAACGAACCAGCCAACCAACCAACAATGAGGTTAAGCGGATGTAAAAAGCAGGTTGCAACACAATCCGTGTTTCAGAACAAAGGACAGTAGGCAGAACATAAAAAGGGTGATAAAAAGTCAAAGATGAATTGTTTGGAGTAGTGTCTACCTACCACCCCGTCCAGCCCCATTCGTCTGGATAATCGAGCATCCTCGGCCGTTACAGCACTCGGATGTACTTGTTGAACCATCTCCCTTCACCTAATTCATTCATCAAGCCATCTATTTACAATTTCGGGGTTCCAGTATTCACTCAATTGGCCATTCATTTATCGATGCTTTTAATCATCTAGTAATTCATTCATGAATTCCTTGCCTTTTCCATGTGTCCAGCTATCCCTAGCCTCCGGTCACTCATTCAGTCAGCGTCCATCTTTCCTCAGTTATGTTCATTCTGCCGCCCTCCCTTCCGTCCGCCCAACCACACATCCCTCTATTCACCAATCCGTCGACCAGGCCACATCACCTTGAGTTCTTCACCGACAAACAAGTCAAGGAGTCGGCACTAACAGCCAGCGGTAAATGTCTTTCACTGTTGGAGCATGCCAGGCATTCACGAAGAAGTTTTACCCATCACCTCACCATCGGAAGTAGAATTCAAAAGTGACCCCATTGTTCTACTCTGAATTCAGCAGTTGTATTGAAACAACGGTTCAAGCGCTTTTGCGTTGTTGCAATGTACCCACTGCCACTGAGCGTACAGGTTGCGAATAAAAAAGAGGCAGGCAGCAGTCTGGATGTCCAAGAGATTCGATGAGGCATAATGACCAGTGTAGACGGTGTGGACAACAACCAACAGAGAGCCAGAGAATTATAAAGAGTGGGCTTTCGAGTGCCATCTCCAATTTGATTAAAAAGGCTACTATTTAGGGCAAAGGCAGGAAAACGAATCCCGTGGGGGTGAAATTACAAGGAATTTCATTGTATTTAATCAGAAACCCAAAGGACTTTCAATGAAACCACCTCGAAGTGGGCAGACCACTTATAAGAATAAAATTGAAAACTCAACGAGCGTAGATTCAACTCAAACGCCAATCGCCTGTCCGTTCGTCCAAGATTCCGCTTTACGGACACATTTATCCTTTTTTAGATGTGGAAATAAGATTGCAGGTCTACCATTCATCCGTCCACCCTTCTGGTGCTAGGAGCGGTGTACGAGGGGACCTTCTAGCGATTGTCAGATAGGCAGGAGAAGACAAAGTGCCAGTGTGAACGCCGGGTTCTTCAGGATCTAATTAAACCAGTCGCATCGTATCTCACTACACCACATCGTGATCAGTGATGAGGTCAGGAAGGGTCACATAAAATCGGTGTAATGGCTGTGTCGAAACACAATGTTCAGTTTGTAGCGAAAGGATCAATCGAGTCCTAGGCATTCAAGTTGCGCCTTCTTAAGGGGTGCATGTTGTCCGTTGCTTCACTACTTCCCATGGATCTGATCCACGCTCCATTTGTATGCATGGAAGTCTCTTCTTCCTCCTTCCTTGAACACGAACGCCGTCAAAAAGTGCTTCTTTGGTCTCTGAGCTCAATCAATCAGGGCACCAACGGAGAAAACACTTCCTCAACATCTCTTGTAAATGAAACGACCATATCCAATCATGGGTGACACAGGGCTTGGCAAAATCTGCCTCCAAATTGTTCACGGAGCCGCGTAAGCAAATCCCGCCGAGATGCCCGACACAACTGTTGCATTGAGTCAGAGGTACCAGGTCAAGACTTTTCCAGATAGATGCAAGAATTTGGAGAAGACACATTACCCAACATGGCACATGCCACATGTGTTGACGGCTTTGAACCCAAGTGGAATGCCCCACCACGAGAAGGCGCGTCTATTACGAGGAGCAGAGGCTGGACCCTTTCACCGTCGTTCTTTTCAACACAAATTACTGTTGTCACTTTCAAATGACAACATTGGTGTCCACCATGGTGTGGAGGTCGCGTGGATACGGATAGGCGGACTTATTGCTGCACTAGACGCCAGGGTTACCATTGATTAGTACAGTCACCACCAATGGCACATGTGTGTGTGACACCACGGTGTTCTCATTTGATCCTGACGTCACAGTCATATGGCATGCGTTCATGTGTGTGTGTCATGTGAATCGGATCGTGTGCCGCCAGTAAATCAGTTGCATTTTAAAATACTAAATAACTAAATGCTAGACACACCCGATCCGGGGACCAATCAAACATCTAGACTGCCGGGGGGAAGAGGGGTTCAGCTTTGCCTCTCTGAGACTCCCACCGGCAAACCAGTTAACTCATCTACTCGGTGTGATACGAGTCGTGCCTTTTATAGAAGAGAAGTGATGCCATATTTGACTTTATGAGGTCTTCGAAGAGGAATTAAGTGGGACACTACTCACTCCTACTTGTGTCCGGCATCCAAGTCATGGGAATGGAGCAACACCCACTGATCATTTGCCCTTCCTTCCCACAAAAAAATTTGAGGAAAGCAAAATCGCATAAACTGTTTTCTATCGCCATTTTCCCTGTCCAGCGAAAAAAAAGAATAGTTCATGAGGAATTTCCAAGTCAAATCGTGACTTTTAATTTGATAGAGGTGAGAAGCGATGTCAAAGTAATTATGCTAGTAGTCGGTGTTCATGAGCCAGGGAACGATCATGCACCCTCCATCGGCGTGTGATGGTGATGAATGAGATTTCTTCCCAACTTGGAAGTCTCCACCGCTACCCACCTGTATCTAAGGGCGGCTTCAAGCCGAGCAATTTGATGGACGTACGTCAGAGACCATTCCACCTCTCAGATGTCAGTCCCGCCTGGAAGGGAATATTCAGCGTTCGTTACACAAAAGATGGATTTTCGTGCAGAAGAGTTGAGCATATTCACTCACAAACACGAACAGGGCGCGGAGGGTACCAAGACAACCTTCTACAGGCTAGGGTGACCCCACTGTGATAATCATCCCTCCCCTAACAGGGCGACCTGCCAAGCATTGATGAATTGCTGACATAGGTGTAGAAATGCCTCAAAAACTCTACCACTGAATCGGAATTACTAAAACCAAAAAAAGTGGACCTTCAAGACCCGCCAAATCACAAAACCTTACCCGCCATCAAAGCAGCAAAAACCCACTAACCCAGATACGAAGGCAAGTGACGTGTCAGAAATGGCCCAGAAACAAGGTTTCCATTTTGCAGTACAAAGAGAGCACCGAGCTTAGCCTCGGCGGAGCGATTTCAGGAGACACCGACTCCACACACACACACACACACACAGCAGCCAATGAAATGAGAGCGGCAATTGCGCAGATAGGGCGGATATCGCGCATCTGGCCTCGATCTCGCAGAAATTGCAAAAGAGGACTTGAAAATGCAAGATATTTAGCAAACATGTCCTCTTTTTTGCATAAAAAAAGTGAGAGGGCGCAGAGGCACTGCTGAGTTAATTATCCGCAAACTTGAAATCCCCCTCAGGAGAATAAAAGATCACTCCCTTCTTCTTTCCCAAATTGAAACTTTTTCTTTAAAAAAAGGATGCAAAAGAAGCCAGAAAAGTTAACTTGCCCACTGCTACCTCAGCTAAAATCTAGGAACTAAAAATGCCTGTCGTTCAACTCAAAAGGGGACTTCCAAAAATTCTTTAAATTTATCAAAAGAGGGGAGGGAAATCTGGTGGCCAAAAAGCGCCTATTTCCTTTCCCCCCAAGTTTACTTTTTATGTCCTCAGGTGAAGTGAAGACGCTTTTGCGGTTGGGATATGAAATAGCAGGGAAATGTACGATTGTGCTGTTCTGTGGCATTTGACAGGATGTCAAAATGTAACCTCAATTGTGCGGAAGCTTCAGGCTCCGCAGTCTGTAGCCTCGCCGACCCCCTATGGGATAATACAAAGTGTTCCTTAATACCGGTATGGCTTAGTAATGCTTTAGGAGGGAATCTCGAGGTGTTGCATTCGTGACGGCGGCAAGCGAACCCGACCCAAGTGAGGGCGAGTCCGGATTTCATTGGCTAGTTGCAGAATGTAAGCCCTATAGGGGGAAGGCGTCGAGTGTGGATACCTGATTCTTAGTCAACTCACCTGCTAAAGAGTTAAAAAAAGCGCCTGCTTTGGACAACTCCCAGGAACAGAATCATTTATAACCCTCCTCAATGTTGTGATTGAGCTACTGACATAGAGAAGAAGCTTTCAGTACTACCTCCCAAAGTGGATTCCTTTCTAATGCAGCCCACCTTGAAGAGGAGGCGATAATCAAAAACGACGGCCACACCTTCACCATATACCACCGCTAGTAAATAGCGCCTTCCTGGGGATCCGAATTCGCCAGCATCATCTCGTCACCAATCCTGCCTTTCACTTGGCAGGATTTAATACGAAGAAAGCAGTGATCAAGAAGTACCATTCTGACAGATGAAACTGCGATCAAGACGGGGCATAATGAGGGTAGAAACGGTTGCAGCGAAAGAAAGCGAACGCCTCCATCTCAGACTACGCAGGAATCAGCTAGTCCTCAAAGGAAAAGGGAACCTACTGATAAATAAGTCAGAGAACAAATTTTCTGTGGATCCAGAGAGGCCAAAATTTCAGAAAGATCAATTTTTTCGGTGGTCAATGTGTACACTATTGACAAGTGGACGGGTGATTAGGAGGTCGATGGACTGAGAAAGAATACATGAATGGACGTGATTTGGAAGGTGAGTTTAACCCACATTACTGTGCCAACAGTATCGGATTATTTTGAATAAATAATTACCGTCGACTTGGGTATCCTTTGTCCCGCATTTACCACATTATTTGCACATCAAAGTGACCAATCATATGTTAGGAAACCCAACTCACCGCTGATTGGTGATCCACATTGACGTCGCCATTGAGGAGGAGACTAGCCGCCTTGACATCGTCTTTCTTGGCAGCAATATGGAGAGCAGGTAGACAGACCTTCCCGCGGGCATCGGATTCAAGAAGAACGGCCACAGTGCGGTCGTGGCCTTGTTGAAGGGCTACAGCCAGTGGCGTGAAACCGTCCACTGTGGTAATACTAGGGTTCGCCCCATTGGCTAGTAAAAGAGTCACGACCTCCAAGTGGTTTTCTTGGGCTGCCATATAGAGGGGCGTGAAGCCGTTCTAAAGAGGGCGAAAACATACAAAAAGGGTAATTTAAAATGCATCTCATAGACTTAAGTGGTCCGAACCAGACTGACACAATGACAAGAAAATCCGTCCATTACAAAAAGCTGTTCGATGCACGCACTGCGGCTGGTGTTTGCCATCTTGTCTAGACAGGACTGACCCATTAACAGGATCGAGTTACCACCAACTATCACTACAGAAGCTTTCTTATTTATGCTACTAGAAGCAGAAGTACCGGTTTGACCTGAACCTCAAGGTCAGATAATCCTTATGAAGGTCACAGGCTTTTGCTGCTACGACGGTTCACCTTCCGCAAATCCAAATTCCTTGCTAGTGGCATAAAACTCCCTTGTCACCCGCACCACTAGACTCCCAACCTTTCAGTGCGCTAAATTACTACTTCTAGCCTCGTTCAGGGATGACCTGTTGACCAAGTGATTAAATAAGTCCAAAGTCCATTACCGCCTTTGTAGGGAATGCACCAAAGTAACCTCTAGATGGCTCGAAGGTTTACAGTCAGGGTAAAAATGGCCAAATACGTGGAGACTTGTGGCACAAGGATACAGTCTTCCCTCCTACATCGAGGTCATGATTAAAAGCGTCAAATTTGTCCATGAAAAGTGAAGGAGCAACAAAATGTGCAACGCCTCCTCCACTTCTTCAGTAAATACTCCCCTCACTGTTTGCTAACAGAGAAGATGCAAGATGGACCCTCTCGGTGGTCGACGAGGTGCGTTCCACTTGTTGACCTTGGGTAAGCACTCCAATACGGTTGTCGTTGTGACCGAATGATCTAAGCGAGGATTCAAAACAGGAATGGAGGGACCTCTTGATGTACTTTCCCATATTAATACGCAATAAAAAGTTGTTTTTTTTGCCCTGCCAAAACCACAATTGACTTCAAGTGGACGGTATTACATTACATGAGAATTTGACCGGACCGAAGGGAGGTAGCCTTGCTTAAGAGAGGATCAAATTCCATCAAGGTGAAGTTGATTACTTTCTACCAGTGTGGAATATAGAAAAAAATCCCCTTGGAACTACTGATGCCCTTTACCGCAGAGGCCTTCGCCTCCAAAAAAGGGTCACGAATTATTGCGCCACAAAATCGTATAACCTATGGGCCGTGGACTTCAAGTTTTTTCTAGACCTAGCTTTAGGAGTGAAGATGGCTGCAAAATCTGTCGGTAAATTGCCCCCAGGAGGAAGAAACAACAACTTTTCATGGACTGAACGATGCAAGTGGGTATGAGAATGGGCCAGGAGGCCAAACTTGGTACCCTGACACCTTGGGCGTCCAATAGGGAGGGCATAGAAATCGCCCCCATCAAGCCGTCTGTGAATCGACCGAAAAGCCCAAAAAATGGCCGTACTGGCGCTCTTGGCGTCCAATTACACCGCAGACACGGATGCAACAAGTGAGAGCATTTTAGGAAAGTTGAATAGACCCAGATTTCACAACCATCGTAAATTTCACCACGTCTGTGTGTATGAGCTAAATGAGTGTCAAGGCAACTGCTTCCAGCGTCAATTCACAAAGGAAGACAATTGGTTTTGGAAGCATGGAAGTCCTCATTGGTTGATCCTGAGCCCTCACTACGCCCTCCTGAGGACAACTTTTTGACCCACACCAAACCCAAACGGACAAAGTGATTATCGATCACCTTCGGGCCAGCTTAAATCTGTCTCTCCTTCATGGCACGCAGAGCAATCATTTTAAAGATAAAGGTAACCTGTCAAGAGAGTCAACTCCGCATTCACACCATCAACCAATATGCTGAACATTCCATCACAGAAAGGGGCTCTCGACTGTTAGACTTTTTATGGACGTTTTGAGTCTATGGAAGACAAGAGTTAACTTACATAACTTTAAAGTCATTTTAACCGACCTCTGCAAAGGTGCTACGGCATGGACGCCCTGCTTCACTTCACGTTAATGAACTGCTAGCTTCCATTACCTTGAGGCCTACCCCCCCCCCCCCACCCCGGTTCCAGAGCAAAGGCATGCATACACACGTGGACAGCGGACTACGCTGTGAACTGGGGATCTCCACAATCAGGAACGCTACCGGGTTTTCCAGCACTTTGGTGTACTTAAAGTCTTCAAAACGAGGAGATATTACCTGTGGATTGCGGTTCACAAGGTGCCTTAGTTACGACCCCGGGTGTTGGTCCATGCGCCCACTATCTTGATTAAGTGTGTGTTGAAGAGCACCGACCCCAACACCTATACCATCTGGTGGTGGCGCTGCGGTAGCAATTCCTTTCGCAAAATAAAGATCCGAAGCAACCATCTCCTATTTTGCAAACTCCTCAAGGCTGTTTCACTTATCCACTGGAGCAGTTTCAACCGTTTTTCAAAGGCACTCAGACATTCGATATCTGATGGATTAACTGTTGAACTAAAATTTGGAACACCAAAACGCCGGCTGACTCCTTTGAGAAAAGTTTTTTCCGCTTTCACGTAACCAGCACGCAACGTAACGCCCCACCTGGGGGAACAGGAGCCTTCTTTTGCCCTTGCAAATGTCAGTGGCATTGGTTACCACTCGGACCTATTTATCATGCCTTGCCTAAG